TACAATTTGAACAATAATGGTGTGTTCAGTTTTCTTATAAGTAGTCAAGAATTTAAAATACGTAGTCTAATCCAAAAGCAATATATGTCAGAGACAAATCAGTGATGATCACAATTGATTGATCACTGTGTGGTGATCAATGTCACATATGTCAAGTCCTTCCTAGTGCAGATCGAATGCTATCGACCAAGTTGCAATGTGATCACTAGTCTAGAGGACTTGACATAGCGTGCATTACGTTGAGATTAGACTGTGATTGGAGGTAGTCATCAGGAAACCCTGGACCAGAGTTTCATGCTACTCGGCACTCAGATATCCTAGTGGTAAAATCCCGGACTGTGATGCTGGGTGATACGGGATCGAATCCGTCAGGGAGCATCAGTTCCCTCAGGATAACAGGTAAACCTTGCTGACGAGAGTCAAGTAGCATGAAACCCTGGTACAAGTTTTCCTCAAATCACGACAAATCAGTTATGAGGACATAGATGTGGTCTACAAACGTATTGGTTATTTATGTTAATGATCTGTTCATGAGACAGGATTAAATGAGGAGTTTGTGGGAAGAATTCTACTTGTGAGTGACAATCAATCTATCTTGTAAGCGGAAACGAAAAGGAAAGCTCATGGCCAATTTAGCACAACAACTTCAGTCTTCAGTAATAAGGATAGTAGGTTGATGAACCTGTATTAATCCTGACACACTGCTTTCCAGTGAAGGTTCAGCTTTTCCTTGAAAGTATTAACTGATGGGGCTGATACCACTTGTTCGGGTAAGGCGTTCCAATCATTGACTACTCGATGAGAAAAACGGGATCCCACTTTAAGTTTATTAGATCGTGGTTTATGAACCTTCTTGCTATGACCTCGGAGATTATTAGTGCTGGAGAGAGCAAAAAGATAAGACATATTAACACCCAAATCATAATTAAAGATACGAAATGTCAGTATAAGGTCACCTCGTGTCCTACGATACGACAAGGGGAAAAGATTTAGGCGTTTTAAACGCTCATCGTAAGGGAGTCTAGAAAGACCCTTCACTAATTTCGTTCCCACACGCTGGACTCGCTCAAGGGAGTTAGTATCCTTTACCAGACACGGGCTAGCTGCTTGGATACAGTACTCTAAATGTGGTCTAACATATATGGGATATAAAATTCTAAGATTTGAACGCTCGGCGAAGTGACCATAACGCACGAAAACCTTTGACAGTGGCTGCTTTGCAATGCTTAGTTGTTTTTAAATCATGACTTAATATTACTCTTAAGTCTTTATGCTCTTGAACGCATGGAAGAGGTTTACCCTCAATAGTGTAACGGTAACTATTACCGTGACCGATGTGCATTAGTACACTCTTCCTAGCATTGATTTCGAAGCCCCAGTCTCGAGCCCATCTAACTAAATCGTCTAAGTCAGCTTGAAGATCCACATGATCTGCCGCACTTTTTATTGTTCTCCAGATTTTTACATCATCCGCTAACAATAATGTCGACGACCTAAGTAACAGCGGTTAGTCATTAACGTAGAGAAGGAAGAGCAGAGGGCCAAAATGGTGCCTTGGGGTACACCACTTTTGACCGGCTTCCAATCGGATAGCGTTCCGTTGACTCTAACTCTTTGTCTGCGGTCACATAAGAAATTTCCTATCCACTCATATACAGTACCTATTATTCCGAAGCTCGTGAGCTTTTGCATAAGACCTATGTGTGAAACCTTGTCAAACGCTTTGCTAAAATCTATGAATATCACGTCGACATACAGACCGTTATCTAGGGTTGCTGTCCAATCCTCCCTCGCAATAAGCAAGTTAGTCAAGCATGAACGCTTGTTATGAAATCCGTGTTGCTCATGAGCTAACAGATTGTGTAAATCTATGTGGCTTAGCAACCTAACCCGAATTATCTTTTCGAGCAACTTAACGACTCTGCTAGTTAAACTGACAGGCCGGTAGTTAGATGCTATCTGTCGTTGACCGTCCTTAAATATAGGACTAACTATAGGGTCCTTCCAATCTCTAGGGAGCTGAGCGAGTGAGAGGGACATGTTGAAGAGTGTCGCAAGCGGTTTTGAAATAATGTCCGCAAGAGATGACAGCAACCGTGGATGTAACCCGTCAGGGCCCGGTGTCTTATCAGGTTTGGGGTTAGTTATCAACCGAAGGACAGTTTTCTCAGTCACCTGTACAGATTCGATGGTTGGTATCTCGGTGTGAGTGGGACAAGTATTTGTTACAATAAACGTAGAGAAGACTTCGCTAAAGTAGTCTGAAAAAGTCTCAGCTTTTGCTCAATCTGATTCAGCTAGTAATTCTGAATTGTCGTGTAACAGTAACGGGGGAATACTATCACTACGTTTCATTTGCCGTTTAACATACGAAAACAATCGTTTCGGACAAGTACGGCTATCATATACTAACTGTCGTTCGTAAGTGGTACGAGATTTGTCTATGGTTTTCTTACAGATATTACGGAATTTTTGATACTCATGCTTAAATGGTGCATGACCTGTCAACAAGAATAAGTCCCAGAAATATTTCTTACGCTTTAACAGCTTTCGGGTTTCCTTATTAATCCGTGGAGGGCAATGTGATAGCTTACGTGCTGACCATAGGATAAACGGCGACGTTACGGACTCGAATGTAGCCTTAAACTTATTCCATTCATCTTCGATCAATCCATCCGCGTCGACCGACCAATCAGTCGAGATAGCACAGTTTCTGATCGCTGGAATATTGGCTCGCCAGATATTGGGACGGGGTGGAGCAGATACGAATTGTATACCATGTGTCCTAAACTTAAAGTGAATTACAACGTGATCACTGTTCACTAGTGGAGGAAGGTGCTGGATATCAAGGACATCCTCACAGTGGTGGGTGAGGGCGAGGTCCAGAAGTGACGGAACATGTTGCAAATCAATATGTGTCGGTTTTGTGATACATTGTACAAGTGCACACTGTATAACGGTAGATAAAAGGTTGCTATCGAAACCACTACCTGGAGCTGTGAGCTCTATCCAGTTGATATGCGGTGCGTTGAAGTCCCCAATGATGAGACAACATTCTGCCATACTCCAAGAACAGATGTGTCTTAGGATAAAGTCTTCAGCAAGACAAAACGGACTATGGTATTTTCCTCCTACAGTCACTAACCCATTTCTAGATTTAATCTTACGACATGCAACCTCACTTGTGCCACTGATATGAGCCTCCGATATGGTTGATTGTATACGAAAGTGATCCCTAAAGTATAATATTACACCTCCCCCTTTGCAACTTGAAACTCTATCACTTCTGATACAGATATAACCAGCAATGAAAGGAGGACAGTCTATATCAACGGTGAACCAAGTTTCTGTAACAACGATTATATCGGGACATAATTCTTGCACCATCAGACTTAGCTCGGACGTTTTATTTCTAAGACTACGAGCGTTCGTGTAGCACACACTTAAGGTGTTTTGGCAATCAATCGTTCTACCCATACAGGCCTCGGAAGCATTGGCTTCCAAGACCTGACTACCCGAAAACCCTTAGTGGTAAGGTTAATTTCGCCATTTAATTTGCGGGTCCTCAACTCCGTAAGAGCATTTTCCACTTGATTCGACCCTCAAGTGGCCAATCTGGTCGAATACGGATATTTCAGGCACGAGTTTTTAGTGCGCTTTTCAATAATATGTCTCTTTCATCAAAACTCCTGAGAACCAGCTTCAGGATTCTTCTTGGTTGGGTCTCGCCTCCAACCCATTTACCAAGTCGTATTACTTTTGTAATATGTACTTTTGAAACCTCTTCAGGTAGTACATTCCTTACCACAGACTCCACTAACTGCAGGTCATGTGCATGTCTTCTAGCAGGGTCGTTGTCTTTCGACTCCTCTAGATTCCAAATAATTAAACTAGGGAGGGGTTTGGCTTCTTTTGAAAATGTGTTCACAGCTTTCGACCGTGACGTTAGATCCTGTATTTTAACTACTGGTATCTTACGATTAGTTTTTATTTTAACAGAGTCCTGGGAGTCAAGCGAATGACTCACAACAATGTCAGACGAAGCTTTACTATGGAACTTTGGCGGATTAACCTGAGAGTCCACCAAGGACTTACCAAGTAAACAGTCATTAGTTTTAGCTATCTTTCCTACGCTTCTGCGTTTTCGCGTCATCCATTTTCCATCAGTCGAAACGTCTACATTAGATCAACTCGGGACAGTAATTGTTTTATCTGGGTCACCGGTTGCTGCTGTAGCAATATAGCCACCAACGTCTAATGACGTGTCGCTCACTGAACGTTTCGGGGGAGAACGTTTAACTGCGGGTTGCACAGGTAGATGTCTGGCTTGCGCCGTGATAGCACTTACGACACTAACGCAATCTTCGCCATCAGTACCAATGTTATCAGTACAGCCTTCATCAACCTTCTTATTAGCCAACACCAGGAGACTAATTGCTTCCTGGATAAGCAATGTTTTGCTTGAGCAACAAAAACTACAAAGCTAATGAGAGTTGGGCTTTGAACACCTTTTATATGCAGTGGGGCTTAGTCGGGTGCACATCTTATGGAACCACTTATTACACTCATCACATTGCATCCCTTCATTCACGGGAAATAAGCAGTATGGTTGTCCACATTTATGAGTAGACTTAGCCATCGTGAAAATCAACTAGAACGGTGATAAAAAACAGGATATGTAAAGGGATTTTCAAACCTTAACTAAATGAACCAAGTAAAAGTCGACCAAGTTTGCTTCGATGCAATAAATACACAGAAGTAAAATCGAAAAACTCAATACAATATCACTTTAACTGGGGTAGATGCAATTAAAGTGTAAACAGTAGTTTTGATGCGTAGTTTACGATCAAAACAGTTAATTAACTCAACGAGAAAAATACTACTGTCCTTTTATGTGGTAAATTTCAATGATTGTACAAATCAAGTGAAATTATAAAAATGTGAGTAACGAAAAGAGTTATTATCGAAAGAAGTTCATGCTAGTCACTTCCACTACAATACTGAGTTCCCTCAACCGTACCGTTAAACCACGAATCTATGACTAATGATCAGTTAGTTTACACCAACTCTTTACAGTGACATTTGACACTGGTACCATAATCAAATAAGGCGTTACATAAAACTGGCTGGTGAAAATTGCGATTATTTTCTGTACTTATCGACGAAAGTAACTGTTTTCGAACCACTTGACTCACTTAATAGTGTTTACTTTGACGATGCTCGGAAACATGTAACTCTGATTTTATCTTGTAAATGTTTGTAGATATTTACTCTCAGGAGTCGTGGTACGATGGGTGTCAATGTCAAATCTGTCGTTGATGACTTGGTTTTGAATTTTCGGTAAGTTATATTCTATTTGAAAGGATTTCGCTCATAACTGATTGCTCAGAAATCTTAAGTAATCTTGTGGAGACCTTCAAGTCGTCACTCCCTAAATTTCTATATTCAACTGTAATTAACAGTAGTTCTGAACGAAAGCATAAGTTTGAGCTTACTTCAACAATGAACTTGAATTTTTACCCAGTTTATTGAGTCATGTAACTGCTCTACCCTAGCATTCAGTTTTTCCTGGTTTGATGTGTTCAAATATATATCTACGATCATCATCTACTTCATTTTATTTCTGCCAAACCATATCCTCATGTTTTGATTTTTCACAATACTGAGGAAAGTTAAGAGGTTGGTCAAGAATATGAATAGAGAAATTATAGGAGCACGAACATGCGCGACCTTTGCCAACGTTACATACAGTGAAATTTCCGGTATCAGTTCTATTTCATGTATTTATATGAACATTGAGCTCAGTGGCTCCGAAGCACTCACTTGAATTCTGAGTTTCAATACTTCATGCTTTTACCTTGTGAGTTCGTTTGCCGAATTATAATCTCCATCTCATCTTTTTTGCACTATCGGAGTGTTGGACTTTCACTAGTGGTTATTTATTCCGGGTTATAGATTGCTTATGACTTGATGAGTAGTTTAATACCATTTCCATCCTGACCAACATCAGTCGATTTCTGTCCTGGTCTCTATTTCCATCTAACAAGCTTGAGTCTATTTTAATTTTCTTGGTTTCCCCTATAGAAAATAGTTCTCAGTGTATAATGAAAGTGTCCAAATTTTCTAAGCTTTCTAAGTAATAACTGATTTGTCTAGCATCTAATCTGCTTCGGTTAAAAATATCTGAACGTTGAATTTTTCCGGTTACAAATTATGTTTAGTTTTAGTAAGAAAACAGATTGCGGACAGCACTACATTAGTCACTGCACAACCTAGTTATTTTTTGTGTGTATGAAAAGATATCATGCATTTGTCTATTCAGGATGTTTTTCTAGCCATATCATCCTTGTTTTATCTTTAGATAATTTCGTTTATTTTTATTTTTTATGGGTTTTCGTATCACAGCATAGATGATCAAGGCGAAGTTTTGAGCATTAAGTTTTCTGAAGATAACAAAATCTTGGGAATTCAGCGGACTCATCGATCAGTTGACTTCTTGAATTTTCAAGCCAATTGCCCCAGGGGTGTACAGTATTCTCAAGAATGCAAGGTTACCTTATTTCTTATAGTAACTTCTCACATTTTCGTGTGTAGAATAAGTCAGCAACGCTTCTGGGATTTGTGTGGTGTTCCAACTATGAGGTCCTTTTTGTCACAAACGAACAACTGGAGTTATATCAAGTAATTTTCCTTTTTTAACGTCCGATAAACATTTGCTTTGTCTAACCTAGTTTCACTTTCCCTGAGATTAGTCCCAGTTAGTGGAAACTATTTACAGAGAAATGTAACAAGTATCTAGGTTTAGAAACGACCATGTTAAGTAGTGTTATCGTTATTTTAAGGTTTCGGAAAATGTTACTATATTTTTAAAAGAAATCGATCGATCTTTGTTTATGTTCGTCTGCTGAACTTGGACGAACCGTATGCCAAAGTTCTGATTTTTCGGATTTTTATTTATTTATTTAAATATAGCTATTGATACAAAGGGGCGCCAAATCCATATGCATCACACAATAACAATGAGGCTGTGAAGAGAGAGAATCTATGGTGCGTACAGAAAAAACGAGAACATCAACGAACAGAAATTAATGTATGATAGCGAAATAATAATGGTGATAATAGGAGAAGTAGTTCAGTTAGCAAAAATACAACCGACAAGAATTCTTTCAACTAAAGTCACGGTCACTTTTTATGAAGAAAGCAAAAGAAGGTTACAGCAGGATCGCCACTGGCTTCTGTTCTGAGCCATGCCTGATAACGTCTCAAACCATTGTGTTGCTCCATCTCTAGGACCCCAACTAGGGAGTCGTGAGGGACCAACAGAAGCCAGTCTTGTACAGCTTTCTTTCATACCACGACACCGTATCATACGCTGACCACCTCTTCGCTTTTTCCAACCAGTCCCAGAGTCGGGAAATAATGCACGACGTGGAATTCTCAGGGGCGACATTCGTAGAACATGTCCAAGCCACCGAAGTCAGTGTTTCAAGATGGTGAAACCAATTGAATTATCGTCTAACTTCTGCATTACTAACAAGGTGTTGCCACTGGATGTCAGCAATCCTTCGGAGACAACGATGATCAAACACAGAGAGTCGTGTAACACCCTCAACTCGGAGAGGCCAGGTTTCACAAGCATAGAGCAAAACTGCTCTCACTAACGCGTTGTAGATCCGACCTTTTACATCCAGACTAACATCGTGAAGGCGCCAAATATGGGCCAGATTAGTATAAGCCGCTCTGGCTTTCACTATACGTGGATTGATCTCATCATCGCCACCACCAACACCTGTGCAGCTACCCATATACACGAACTTCTCAACTATTTCTATCTGCTTACTACCCAGGGTGAGTGCTGGATTAAGGTAACACGTAACACGTGACCCAACCATTTCAGTCGATGAAGATTCACGACCTCATCAACTGATTTACCATCATTCCCTAATACCCTGCGTCTAACCTCACTATTACTGACCCGGTGATCCCAGCAGACGCCAGCAATATTTCTAAGGCATCCGTGGTCAAATACTAGTAACTTATGAGTATTTTCTATTTTTAATGGTCACTTCGCAGCCGTAAGGTAGAACAGAACGAACTGCTGCGCAGCATACTCGTCCCTTAATTGGTAGATGGGTATATCGCCTTCGCTATAGGTTACGTAAGTTGGCAAAAGTCAAACGAGATTTTCGAATCCGTGTTGAGATTTCGTAAGACACCAACCCATTTGGGCTGATCAGACTTCCAAAATAAGTGAAGTTGTCAACGCGTTCGACTACTTCACTCCCTATTTTTTTAGTTCAGGTGTTAACGTAGACCAGTCCTGAAGCAACAACTTGCATTTAGAGGAAGAGAAGCGCATCCCAAACATTCTGGCATTGTTGCTCAGTGCTAGCAAAAGAATGCATTTTATCAAGGTCTTTACCAGGTCAATAAATGGACCTCCTGGTAGGGATTCCCGAAAATTCAGACGAAGAGAACATCATATCCAGGAGTAGGTCTATGATGAAATTAAACAGAAATGGAGATAGTGGACACCCTTGTCGGACACCACTTAAGTTTGCAAAATCAGATGACAGTTCTCCATAAGCTGTAACTCGACTTATAGTGTTCGAGTAGAGAGCCTTCACAAGGTTTATGTACTTCTGAGGTACACCTTCCAATGACAGTCATTGCCACAGAATCTCTCAGTCTACGGAGTCAAATGCTGCCTTTAAGTCAAGAAAGACCACCATTGTCGAACGCCGATATGCATGCCTGTGTTCTAGAACCCGATGAACGGTGAATATGTGGTCGATGCAGCTATGACCAGGTCTGAAGCCAGCTTGATTCTCTCGTGTTTGCAGTTCACGAGTCTTAGTTAGGCGACCGATAATTATTGAGGCTAGTATTTTAGATGCTATGTTATTCAAACTAATCCCTCTATGGTTGTCACGGGATGATTTTGACCCTTTCTTATATATTGGGACGATAAGTGATTATGACCAGTCAGATGGAATAACGTCTAAGTCCCAGATCTTAGCTATAATATTAGTCAACTTAATCGCTAGAATTGGAACACCATCCTTAAAGACATCTTGAGCCAGTCCTTCTGGAACAGCTGCTCTTCCTCGTTTCAGATTAACTATAGCCTTTTGGACTTTAGATATAATAGGGGTACCTACTTCAGTGTTCCATTCAGGCGGTTTAGAAATGGTGGGTAGTTGTAGAGTAGCCGAAGGCCAACTGAACTGCTGCTTAGTGTTCCTATCATCATTCTAAACGTCTGGACTGAGAGCAGATGAGAGTGTCGTCTTTTTCGAGATAGGAACCTAAATGCTATTGGTTCGTTATCTCTTTTAGTATGCTATTTTGGAGCGTTTCCCAAGGACATTTTAATACTGTATATATACGCATCCATTGTGCTTGTCGTTGTTCGTGCTTCTGGCTGCTTGTGGAATATATTTTCCTCTTCCGAACTCGGACATCTCTCTCTAGTTAGCAGTGCTGGAATGCTTCTAAATAGCTAGCTTCTTGGTCATTGTGTCAGAATCTTCGTTTCGTTCTCAGATTAGGTGAACTCGTAATCCCTTCAAACAAAGCAAATCTGGTGACGAAGCGGGAGCAAACATGGATCCCTCAAAAGTGAAATTATTGTTCGAGCAGCAGATTAAACTTAACCTGATGTTAGCAGATGCAAAACATACACCCAACACACAACCGAGCACTTCTAATTCTACTCAATCATTCAGTCAGTAACAACGTAGAACTTCGTACGTACGTACATCAGTTCGAGTTGCCACACCACATTAGCACAGAAATGCAGTGGTCGATTCAAATCCCGTAGTGGTAGAGGTAATAAGAGTATAAACAGTAATCGAAAAGATTAGGGTTTAAAGATGTTATTCAAGGAGTATTATCCAGTGAAATAAATTTGGAAAGAGAAAAAAAGGGACATGAAGAATTCAGAAGATAAGAATTTGGGAGAACACAAAGAGTGGATGCACCTGCGCCATTGCAAAAGATTTTTAGCCATGTCATTCAGTGTCTCTAACCATCGGTTGCTATCATCTCGCGGTCCCCAACCAGGTAGTCTACACCTACCGACATGACTCAGACCACTTGTCAGTGATTTCATGGACTTGTGCCATGTTTTGGTCTGGCCGCCCCTAGCTTTCTTCCAACCTACTCCTATACCACTGAACATCGCACGTCGAGGCAGTCGGTCGTTGGGCATACGTAACACGTGTCCCAGCCATCGCACTACGTCATCAATTGATTTGCCATCCTTACCTAGTACCCGTTTCCTAAGAACTGCATTACTTACTCGATGGTCCCAGGATATACGAGCAATGTTTCGGAGACACCTATGATCAAATACTAGTAACCTACGAATATCCTCTACTCTTACCGGCCATGTTTCACTGCCATGGAGTAGGACGGAACGAACTGCTGCACAGTAAACCCGTTCTTTGGTTGATAGACGGATATCTCGCCTACGCCATAAATGACGTAAGTTGGGAAAAGCTAGTCGATCATTCTGTATCCGTGCTGAGATTCCGTCACACACCAGACCACGAGGGCTGATGAGACTTCCAAGATAAGTGAAGCGGTCGACACGCTCAATTACTTCACTCCCTATCAGTAGTTCGGGTGTCGATGTACCCAATCCTGAAGCAACATTTTGCATTTTGAGGGAGAGAATCGCATCCCGAACATGCTTGCATTGTTGCTTAGAGTGGTCAGAAGACTCTGCATTTTGTCAGCGTCTTCACCAAATAAAACTATGTCATCAGCATATTCTAAGTCAACAAGTGAACCTCTCGGTAGAAGTTCAACCCCTGGAAATTTAGCCGAGAAAAGTGTTATCTCTAAAAGCACGTCAACGACAAAGTTAAACAAGAATGGAGAGAGTGGACAGCCCTGACGAACACCACTTGAGGTAATCAATTATGATGACAGTTCGCCATAAGCTCTCACTCAACCAGTTGTGTTCGAGTAGGTTACTTCATTGGAACTCATTTCAGTGACAAACACTACCATAGAACCTCACGATCAACAGAGTCGAATCGTGCCTTAAGGTCGAGAAATACTACCATTGTGGAGCGTCTGAATGTGTGTTTGTGTTCTAGGACCTAGTGTGACGTAGTGTGTATATCTGGTCTATACGATCACGTCCAGGTCGAAAACCAGCCTGGTTTCCTCTAGTCTGCTCTTCACGAGCTTTAGTTAGGCGTCGAAGTATTATTGAAGCTAATATTTTAGACACTATATTAGTCAAACTGATTCCTTTGTGATTGTCACAAGAGGACTTTTGTCCTTCCTTATAGACTCGCACAATCAGTGATTGAGACCAGTCAGATGGGATTACGTCCAGTTCCCAAATTCTACCTAGGACCTCAGTTAATCTCACTGCTAATACTGGACCATCATCCTTAAAAATCTCAGGAGTCAACCTGTCAGGGCCTGCTGCTCTCCCTCGCTTCAGATTTCCTATAGCTTTTTCAACTTCGTAAAGAGATGGAGGACCTACATTAACTTGCCATTAAGGTTGACTGGAGATCGTCGGAAACCGAAGTGTGGCTGAAGGCCAGTTGAACTGATCCATAAAGTGTTCTGCCCATCGATCCAATCTCCTGGATTGAGAATGTATGATATATCCATCTTTCTCTGAGATTGTTTCGCTAACAGTCGGTTTCCTAATA